GCCTACATCATGCCAGGAAGTGCTCTCGATCAGCTACAAATGAGGATGTATTTCATACTCTTCTCTACACATCAGCTCCGTACATTTCCAGTCTTAGAAAAACATATAGCAAAAGTGTGAAGGCACTTGATGAAGATACCCTGGATCTTTTAAAAGTGAATGAACTCATTTTGGATCCTGAAGTTAAACAAGTATAATAAAACATCATATACACATTGACCTACATACATTTCTAACATTATTTTACTTTTAAATTAGTATTTTGTAACTTTTTTTGCTATACGTGTTTGTAATCTTATAACTTTTAATTTCTTAATTAAATGGATAAGAGCTTGAACATGATTGTTTTTTAAAAAACTAATGTAATAATACATTTTTATTAATAATATAAGTAGCGTTGTCCTTAAGGAAATCAAATAAAAGCTATTTCTGAAATATATTTTTTCATTTTTTTTTTCAAAAATAAACATACTCTTATAAAAGTATGGCATCTGAACTTTAGCTAAAGCAGTATTTAATACTCTATGCTTGTGCATAAATTCAATAGTCTATCTTAACAAATAAGAAAGTTATCGATTTTTGATCTGAAACAGACCTCGATTTTCCATAGTGCGACGCGACGTTCGGCGTCACGGGGGAAATCTATAAATTGCTCTAATGCCATTCTCTTGTGCTAAAAAAGCTGTTTCGATCTGTTACCGCATATTATAAGACCGTTAAGTAATATGGAACCTATATACACCGTATATACATGCTTATAACAGCTTTCATATTTGTTACTTATTAATTCTCGTACATACTTTCTTTTCTGTCCTTCTCTATTCTCGACGTGAGATTTTCAATGTCAAATCGTTTGCATTGTTTTCAGTACCGTGTTCACTACTTTTTAAAACAACTGAGTTTAATATAAAAAACAGTACACTCAAATGGCTCAGAAATTTATTTCATTGTGCCTTAGAAGATGGAGTTTGCACCAAAATTACAATTAGGTACAATGCAGCACCAAATGAGTAAACAGTTCTCGCTATTTACCTAGACGCATAATATTGACTGTGATGGAAAAACATGATATTTATTTTTACATTATTGGAACAAAAGAATAAAATTCGTAACAACTAAAACAATAACGCTTAATTACTAAAATGGATGAAATTGGGTTTTCGCGGATAGCCTCACTTAATTCAGTCTTATATTTTTCATACATATTTATCAATTTCAATAAAAATTTAAATGAGTTGCTAATCTGCAAACCCAGTGGTTCTCAAGCAGAGGGCGTGGATTAGAATCCGGACTCGTACCTCTGAGTTTTTGGAATTTATGTGCGAAAAAACGATATCCATGTATGCGGCATTCCATACACACGCTGTGTTATACTGATTGACTGACTGACTGAAAGATTCAAGATGGCGGACGCAAATGCGGTCCTCTTTGACAATCAATTTATATCGGTGTGGTGCGCTCATTTCGCTATTTGACTAATTGTGTGAACATAAATTTAAAATTTTATATTATTCACATTGATTTGGTAAGTAATGTTGTGCTTTTTAATTAATTTGTGCATTGTAATATTTGATATTCGCGAAATGGCACTTCAGAAAATTTCATTTCCCGTATTGGTTCTACCGGGAATCGAACCCAGAACCTTCATGCAGTGCCGACAGTGCAAACCGTTGGGCCACTGATGTCATCTTATTTGGATTATTATATTAATTGCATGTAAAATCTACAAATTGCATAAACACGATCACCCATTCGTAAAGCAGATTCCCGAGAGAAGAAATATTCACTTTATTTGTTAGTTGAGAAGTCTATATTGCATTGCTATTTCCAAAGTTAGCGCAACGTATCCTGATGTCGATCAACTGATAGCTGCCTTTCAAAGAAATATATACCTTATTGTTGCCAAGTTACATTTTGCATTGCCCGTGGTGGCACATACAGGCGACGTCAGTCTCTTTGCATTCAAAGAACACTATTTGGTAGACTTGAAATTCGGTATTTTATTGGATCTACTACGCAGTATGCCTTTCAAAAAAATATACCTTATGTATTGCCGGAGGCGGGAAAAGTGGACGGAGCCGGGCTGCGTAGCCTGCGCCGCGTGGCTCTGCGCGGCTTTACTCTTTTGTTTCTTTTTGTTTGAAGAAATGTGTACTTTATATAGTAGATAATATGTTCTATAGTATATTGCATTTTATTAAGTGCGTTAGTCGCAGCTCGCTCTAAGCGCGCCGCCGCTTCTTGCAGCTTCGTTTTCATTTTTTTGTTTAATGAAATGATGCCATATTCTGTAGAGGATAAAGTTTATATTGCATTGCTGGTTTTAATGTAGCGTCGCGTTGCGTTGCGTCTCGGCAATATGAATCAAGCCTTAATTATGTAAAGTTGTTTAAAATTTATTTGATTTATTACAATTTATTTTTCTCTATCTATATTTCTTTTAATCTATTTGCAAGATTTATTTTACTTCAACTTCAAGCAACAAAACTACTCTGATTATCAATTTTCCTTTACAGTCGTTCACAGATTATGTGTAGTCGTAGGTATACTTGGTAATTTGTAGTTCTTAAAATGACTTAATTTGCAATGTAAGTTAGCAATTTCAATGCATGCAATACGGACTAGACAACAGCGAGAATATTTATTTTGGCAAGTACAACTGGCACTTGTGTTTTTACTATTTTCGCTGACGGTGTCAGTTCGTTTAGCATTTCTCGAGGTGTAACGCACTGTGATATGTGGATAGACTTAAATCATTTTAAATGAATTGAAATGAAAAAAATGAAATGAATATATAAATTTATTAATACAAAGATCCAACACTCAGAATAAAGTAAGATTCGGTCATATTTACGAAGGCCAAAGATAAACCCTATGCATGGATTTTGCAACCGTTCAAGCTTTTTTAGCAGTTCTTCGGTAGCATCTAAATAGCTGGAATCAGCATGGTCTAGGAAGGTTAAAATAAGAGATTAAACTAAACAGATCTTGGATTTTAAAGCCATAAAGTTTTGGAGGCAGACCCAAATTAGTAGCAGTAGAATTACAGGCAATAGGCGTTGAATTATACTGTATAATTGGGACATAATCAATATCCAAAGTGTCACATATACGCTCACTTCCCACAATCATGTCATGCGACTTTTTGGGATTAACCAACAAGCCAAAAAACTCAGCCCAATTTGCGATGTTTCTTAAATCAACGTTAACTGCTTCAACGGTTCAATGACATCAGAAGTTTTAAAACTACGGTAGAGCTGCAAATCGTCAGTAGGGATGAAAATTTGAGGACAACGCAGAAGTGACAGAGTTAATGAAAATAGAGAAAAGGAGAGGGGAAAGAACACCACCTTGAGGGACACCAACGTCTAAGTCATACCAATCAGAAGAAGCCTCATCAGAGCGAACACACTGCTAGCGATCTCTAAGATGGGAATATTATTCATTTTACTCTCGTTCTGTGGCAAGGTCGCCATTGTAGCATCCAAACTCCTTAGTACAAGGATAGCTCAATAAAACAACATTTGTTGCGTCACGTACACGTGCTTTACACGCCCGTTCGCGCCACTGTCTCTCGTGTCATCATGGCGGGAACGGCGGCCGATGCTAGCTTGTCTATTGTCTATCGTAAATTATGTCAATCTAAATCTATGGTCAATACAATACCACAATACATGCGAGTATCTACCTAGATAATATGACAATAATTGATGTGATTTAGAGCTATATACATAGAGTTCTAATTTTGAGTTGAATTTTACTTGCATTAACAGTATCATAACTTGTATTTTAATTAGGTTTAAAGATTTATTTCTCATTATGAATTTCCATTCACTTAACATGAGAAAAAATAACAAAATATAAGTAACAGAGTTGAAATATCGAACGGCAAGATTAAGTATAAAAATTATTTTACATTAAGTGGGTAAGTAGTTGCTTATTTAAATGTGAGTTAATTCATTCAATCACTAACATGAATGTTGCTATACAAAATTAACAAAGATACATAGAACGGGCAAAACTTGAAGCGACGATGCAAGTAGTTTATTTAGGACGAAACGTTATACGTGGTTCTTTAAATTATTATTTTTTGATTACGTTTATTATTTATAATGATGATACCTGTTTCTTTTGTTTTGTTCATTATAATTATTTTATTTTACGTTATTAAAGTACTGTTAATCTTTTTATTTAATTTTAATTTTTTATATAATTACTATCATAATATAAATGACCAGATATAGCAACAGGCAGCCCGTATGTTTACCTGAACTTCATGTACCTAATACAAATAAAATTGATAATACGAGTTCTATTGCTACTAAACACTACTACTGGTGCTAAAGTTTTTTTTGACAACCACACCAATTACATAATCTCAAGCTAGTGAATTTGCTGTATTAAGAGTACCAAATCAACGGCATTCCCTCCGGGGCACCACTCAGAACCAATTTGGAAAAAGTTAATTTCCCAAATTGATTATTCATTACAGTATTCTAGTGCTATAATTGAAATTTAAATGCAGTAAGTTTGTTGTTGTTGATACGCATTGATATTTTTATACCAGCATCGCGGATTGATCTTGAATATGGGGTATGATATGAAATAAAAAAGAAATGCTAAACATTTCCGATTTGATGCATTCTTGTTCAAACCACCACAAACACAACAATGAACATGTCTATTATTGGAATTACTTTTTTTAAACACCGAACGATTGCTTTGATTCTATAATAAATGGCGTGAAACGACCAGCGTTACGCAACGCGAGTGTACCGCGAGATTATGCAAACGTGTGTATCCGTATACGGCGCGTGCACACATATAAGCAAATTAAAAAATACAACATCTTTTTTTGGTCCTTGAACATTTCTTGCTCGTAAATATTAATCGATTGTGTTTGATATTTATTAAACTCAGGTTGATTTTATAAAAGTAAAAACAAATTGTAATAATTGTTTATAAACAGGATTGACAGCAAAATTTGTTTTTTCCTCAACAGGTTCGAGGCAGAGATGTCTTACGGATTCCAGAGATTTTTCTTCTTATTCTACTGCCTGGCGTGCTTCTGGCCAGAACTTGGCGCCGAAAGCAACCTAAGGGTGGTTAATGAATGGGCTGAGTTGGAATTCGTCTTCCCTGATGAAGAAACAAAGCAGATTGCTATGACCAAACAGCATTATGTGCCGGGGAAGTCAATACCTATTGACGTAGATATTCAGTATAGAAAGGGTGAGTCACAAACAAGTGGACTTATTTATTCATTGAATAACTTTATTTAATTGAAGCATATACACAGCCTAGAAAAACATTATTTTATTTAAATTAAGCTATTGAAGACCCTAAAACCATGTATAAATATTATTAAAAGACTATGTCCATGCAAATACATTACTTGTCAACTCAGAACGCGTCACTTGAAAGGTAAACAAATCAGACAATGTGCTCTTGATATTTGCTAGAGTTTTACTTAAAATAAGAATAATAAATATTTATTTCAGTAGTACAATTAACTTTACACTAACAGTGGATGGTAACCTCCTATTAAGCTTATCAAGCCTGTGCCAAGAGGCACCGCTCTTCCATAGCTATAAATACACATTTAACATTGTAACTTGCAATTTTGGTGTTTAATTTAAATTTAATTTTTTGCATTTCCAATCAATTTCAAAATGAACAATTCTTAACTTGGAAGTTAGATTAGAATTTAAAATTTAATTTGAATCTTAAACGGTGCTTGCGTGCGTACGCGCGTGCGTGCGTGCGTGCGTGCGTGCAAGAGTTTGTGTGAGTGCGTGCGTGTGAGGGGCGGGTGTTCAGGAGTGCATGCGTGCGTGCGTGCGCGCGCGCGCGTGTGTATGTTTAACCTGTTGCCATAGACGAAGAGATAAGTGTTTTTAAACCAAGTGTTCCATTAGATCTTCGTTTCCTTGTACGACTTGGACTGTTACCATTTTGAGATAAGTTTCTTGCAGCCTTAATAAGTTTTGGCGTATGTTTCTAATTCCTTATGAATCGAATTGAACAGGCCGATCGCTTGTTGAATTATCTGTTTACAAATGTTGTATTTACTTTAGATACTTGTACCACAGTGTCTTTCCTTTTCCTCTTCGGAATATTTAGATCATATTTTAGAGACTTATGTTGTGTGAGTACAGATTGAGTGATGTAAAATTATAGTTCATACAAGCTGCTAGTGAAAAAATATTGTTTTTTTTAAATACATTATTTTAAACAAATTGCATTGCGCACGTTCCAACTCAAGAAAACGAGTTTTAACGGTTCAATCAGTATTGATTGATGTATTCCTGTATGGGGTGATACACGAATACATCAATCAATACTTATTGAACCAAACTCACGTATATTTCCTTAAATTCCTAGACGAATCTTGCAGACCAGCAACTGATCCTGGCACTACATAGCTTAGTATTTTATAAATCCAATTAAGTTTTCTTACTCTTTTAATGACATGTTCGAGCTGACATGACAGGTGTGGATACCAACAGAGTCGCTGGTCAACAAAAACACCCAAATACTTTGATTGTGCAACTTTTATTATAAAATGTTCAGTTACGAGCGTTACCTGTGGTTTTGCAATTGTGAATCTTTACGTAAAAATTATTTTTGGGCTAAGTGTCATTCTTTGTTCTAAAATAGATGTCGTTTGTGTTATTAGTATTTGAGGTAAAAGAATTGTTCGTTAACCATCTATTTACATGCTCCGGTCCCCGTTCCGCACTAGACTTCAGAGCATCCCAAGAATTATCAATGAATACAATGCCCGTATCAGCAGTATAAGAGAAGATATTAGCGTTCTTGATCTGAATATCACATAGGTCATTTATATGGCCAAGAACGCTACCTTGGGGCACGCAAAATAAAATCACTTCGTACCCACTGTTAAAGTTATCTAGTTTCACTGTTTGCTTCCCATTTGTCAAGTAATCAGTGATATGTACAAAGTGAAGTACTGCTTATACCTATCTTTTCTAATTTGTGCACTAGTATGGGGAGAGAGACAGTGTCAAATGTTTTCTTAAGTCCGAAAATAATGTCAAATATTTCTTACGTTTGTCAAACTGTTTTGTAACTAGAGAACTCAAGAATATTACTGTACCCTCCGCAAATCTTCCATGTCGAATACTTAGTTAGTTTACAGGCAATATATTGTTTTTATTAAATTGTTTAGTAATCTTTTATTGAGTAATTTTTCCAGAATTTTAGATATCACTGGCAATAGGTACAGACCATTTTCGTTACGAAAATGTTACATTCTACGCTCGGTTTTAGTTCCGTGCCTTTTCCACATAGACGGTGGCACCATATTATTACCCTGCGTTAGTATGTTTGTGTATGGACCATTTTAGTGACGCAATGTAGCATTTAAATCGTTCGAGGGACGCTCAGGAATAACAACCGGAAATTAAATTAAAAATTAAATGGAAAATTTTGAATAACAACCGAAATCTTATTGTAGAAGCGTATTCATTGCCCCTTCAATGAATTTGTGACTTTGTGAAGACGACTTCAAGAACAACCAGTTTAAACACTTTATCCAATTTCAGACACTCTATCGCCACGAATTTTCGTAACCACACCTCGCTTCAGAGATGGTCGTCCCGTGACTCTGGGCACAGTGGACGAGAAGGGCAAGATCTCTGGATACCCTGACTACTCCTGGCACGAAAATCAAGGTCAGAACTGCGGAGGATTAACGTCAGTATATAGGACTGCGGTAAGTAACGTCGAACATGTGAAGCAGAAATAATGCTAAGAATCGATTTTGATTATTCTTTTTTTGTTGGAAAGAGGGTACCTCCATAGTGGTCCCATTTAATTTTGAAGAAAATATTCCACCTCTATGGGTGGCTGTTCACGCATGAAGATTTATTTTTTTATAAATAGCGCCTAAATTTTATAAGGAGCAATTATGTTAATGGTTGATTTTGCCATGCTCCAATTGAAGGCGTTTTTCTCTTTCAATATACTAATTTTGTGTTAACACACGTTACAAAGGAGATGTACAAAGGTGAGCTTATCTCTAGAAGAGATCTCTTCCAGCCAACCCTAGCCGTGGTGTAAAAGTGGAGTCTGCGAGAAATATTGTACAATAAAATTAAAATTTAAATGTGAATAAAAAATATAAATGATGAAAATATACATATGACAGATATACAAACCTACATGAACTTATATACTTAGATACATACATAAGCAGAATATATATTATAATAACAAATTATTAGTTATAACGCGTTTGACAGGAAGTGCTCTTTTAATTTGTGTTTGAAAGATGCCCCTGATAGACTGTCACGAATGCCAACAGGCAGTTTATTAGTTATTTCACATACGAGCTGCACTTACCGTAAAAGGTTTGTGGAAGAATTTGGAGTTGGATTGGGGATATTATTATATCCCCAATCCAACTCTTTTAGAGGTGTTTTAGTGTCCCAGATACGTTTTGGGCGTTGTACTGGTGGATAAAGGAGAAAAACGGGAACACAAATAATGATGAAACTGGCGACGATTTAGAATTTCATAAAGAAGACAAAGAACGTGCATATCTCGGCAAAGTCGGACTGGGAGCCATTTCAACGCAGACCCAAATTCAGAGACATGGTCTTAATTACGTAAACCGAATATGAAACGGATTACCAGATTTTGTAGGCGCTCTAGTTTGTTGAGCAACTCCTTAGTAGCATTCTAATAACAAACATCGGCGTAGTCGAGAAGAGGGAGTACAAAGACTAAGCAAGCATAACCATAACGGTAGTTCAACACCAAGAAGAATTGAAGCTGCTTGAGAGAATGATAGGAAAAGTGCATGCATCGAATCGACTCGTCGACATTTACCTGTGATCTCCAAGACAGTGTATGGTCGATCATCAGATCCAGGTTCTTTGTATTTTCCGCATATGCAAAACTCACTCCGCCATGCAAAACCTAGGAGCGGTTATAATGTCCAACCTGCAGTAAAATCTGTTGCTACCTACAATTATTTCCTGGAATTTTATCGGGTTTACAAGCAAACCAAACGCATCATCCCAAGACTTCACTACAAGAAGATCCTTCTTTATAGTTTCAATAGCAGATTGGGCATTGGCTACATTAAAATGTCTATAAATTTGCAAGTCATCTGCATACAAGTGGACTGGAGGAGAAATTAATTTAGAGAGCTCGTTTATGAATAGTGAGAAGAGAAGAGGTAAAAGTACACCACTCTGTGGCACCCCTGAAGTCAAAGGAGACCATTCGGAATAAGTGTCATCAATCCCGATCCTGCGATGGCGATTGCGGAGGTAATCCGAAAACCAAGCGATTGCAGCAGGGAGATATTAAGAGAACAGAAAATGACAAGAAGGATGTTATTGTCGACAGCGATGAAAGCACTGCTAAAGTCCTGTAAAACAATCATGGTAAACAACCGGTTATCCATGGCGTGGCGAATAATTAAAGGTTCGATTTTTCTTTTTTCAAGATCTGATTGTTTTGAGTCTAATTAAAATAAATTATTTATAGCTATCTATTACTTTTATTTCATCGTGACGTTCGGTAAATGTGCCGAACACGCCAATTACCGAATATAAAAACGAATTATCGGCCCCCCAATCCGTTATTTATGTAACTTATTATACGTAAACATAAATATAATACATGTGGGGTGGTGGCTCGAAATAAAAACAAATTCACGGGGAAACTAATTATTTTATATTTTACAAAAAAGGAACCGAACTGAACGTCTTAAGCTCTGTCGCGCCATTCGTCTTCCTTCCCTCTCACACATGCTTTCTCGCTCGCACTCCTAGTGTTGCCGTCCTACACTCGGCCGTCCTGACTCTAGTCTGTCCTCAGACTTTCTTATAC